TCTTCTTCAGTACCCTAAGTGGGGGTTCCTCTTGCCCCTGTCAGTGCCCCAGAGGACCAGTCACCTTAAGGGCTATTTAGGCCTCCTGTCTCTACGGCCATGCTTATGCCCTGCAGATATTACTCTAGATCCACACATCAGCTTGTATGGGCTTCAGCCCTTTTAGCTTTAGCTTGCTGGTTACCCTCGCTGTTGACTGCCAGCCTAGGTCCACTTCCTCTGGCCCATCTTCTGAGTCTCAGCCTGGTCTGGCCCTTGGCCCATCTTGCTCTGTTTGGGTCCTTGGACCTCTCAGCTGGAGAGCCACTTTCTCTCTGTTGTGGCTCAGGCCCTGGCCCTCTTGGTTGGAGCCTGCCCTTGATAGGGGTGAAAATCTGGAGTGCCTCCGGTCCTCCAGTCTAAAACAAATGTAACAAAATCAGGCAACTGCTTTTAAACTCAAAGTCTCCCCTCTGGGTGGTCATACTACTGCCAGGCAACCTTCCCACTTTCTGGCTTTCTCTGCCCTGGGAGCACCTGCCATGAACTATAGCACTAACTCCTCACCAGCCTGAACTGGCAGGAGCTTCTCTCTTCAGCATGCAGGGTCTGATTGCTCATTCTGGCTCAGGCCCTGGGTTTATATGCCTCAAAGCCTTGCCCCCTTTTTGTCATGTGGCTACTCAGCCATACACAGGAGTTTCCCCTTTAATTAAAGCATGTGCTCCTGCTGTTGCAGCCTCACACAGTGATCTTGGCCTGCTGCATTCTCTTAAAGTAACAGGAACCCTCTGTCTCCCCGTTGTATCACCTCTATAATGAGTTTTGTTGAGGATTGTATATCTATTGATCTTAATTTTGCTAATGTGTTGTAATAAAACACGTGTATATTGTGTTTCTAATGTCTCCCACAATGATACCTAAATACTCATTGCATTATAACTTGAGATGCATCTTATCTGTTCTAGGCAGCAAGCTTAATGCAGAACCCTCAAGTTCAACAATTGTAAGTATGAATAAAAAATGGGATACTGGTGTCTGAGTTAGCAAAACTAAGGCAGAGAACAACATATTTCTAAAACTTTTACATAGCATTCTTGCTATTGTTGACTTCACAGCCACACCCCAGTAATTAGAGCTAGTACAGAATAACTTCCTGTATTGCTCACCCTCGTTTTTTACCACAGTTAAGCAAAGAACTGTTGTTTATGACTTGGTATGATGACCAATGGAGTGTTAACTCTTCCAGAATGTCAGGGATGATGTCAAATGCCATTGGTGGTCCTGCTGCAGGTGTAGGTGGCCTAACTGACTTGTCAAGCCTCATACATGCGTGAGTATTTGGATGTATCTACCATTTTAACTTCTTTGCATTTATAGCAGTACTCTGTACTAACGGACAGCTGTTTATTAGTTTTCCCCTTGTCTGATAACCTTAGAAAATTAAAACTGAAAATAGCAGGTCTTACTTTCTATTATCTTGTTGCTTATGTTCTTTGCACACTAGATTCAGTTTGAACAATGACATGGTGTTGTTTCATTTTTTGCACAATTTCTTTTTTAACCCATTCATTAAAAGTATCTATTGAAATGCCTAGGTCCTTGTACATTTTTACTTTTGAATAGCAATGCATCAGCCTACTCCGTAAGTTCTGAGCTCCCCATAGCTAAAGACTTGTTTCCTCAAGCCTCGCTTAGTTGAGGAAAAGCAATGAAAATAAACAGGTCCTGCTCAAAGTTGCATGTTTTCAGTTCTGGGCATGCAACTAGTTCCAAAGTTGGGGGCCCCCAATTGAAAATAATCTGCCTTTAGCCTGCTCACATTTAAATTGGGAGAGCTGTTGCTTCAAACAACTGTAGTTGATAAAGCTCAACTTTTCAGTAAGAATCAAACCTGTTGGAGTTTGATAGTCCCACACAGTAAGCCCACATGTTGAAAGCCAGCACACAGTATAGCCCACATGTAATATAATTGATGGAAAATACTGCTTAACAAGCATGCAGTTTGATTCTACAGCAGCAGACAATTCCAGATTAGCCTTAAGAGACAGGCACACAGGCATTTAATGCCATGCCACAGGTACAATCTTAAGATCAGGGGTCAGATCCTAATTAAACTGTTACTATTTGCCAGTGCAACGGGAACCTGGAATCATAATCTCAGACTTCTTCTGCACCAATAAGTTGAAAGCCAGGTGCTGCAGCCCTGCACCTGGGGCTGACAGTCAGGGCCAGGTCCATTTTACCTGGAATTGCCTGGGCATGTAATTAGTAAGGATCTGGGTTTTCCATTTCTGAGAAAATGAGAAAAATGTGGATTTCTCCCTTGACCCGAAGAAAATGCAGATTTCTCATTTTAACAGAGAAACCTGTGGATTTTGCAGTTTTGGAATGAGCTTTCTGCAGGCTGGGAGAGTTCCAGCCTGCACAGGACTACAAGTGAGTGGGAGGAGGGCAGTCAGGCAGGGAGCGCCATGTGCATATGCCCCCCAGGCAGCCTGGAGAACAGCTTCTGTAGGTACTTGGCGGGGAGGGAGTGAGGCCCCCATAGGTAGGGATAGGGCTGGGGCTGGGGCATGGGGCTGCACTGTGGTTGCAGTGTCCTGGCAGGGAGTGGGACAGGGCCACAGGCGGCTTGTCCAGGGGACAGGGTAGGGCCAGCTCCCCGCAGCTGCACCCACTCCTGGGGGGCATGGGGGAAATGCTCCCAGTTCTGTGCATGGGGCAGGATCAGGCTGCCCACTGTGGTGTGGGCTCAGGCTTCTGCCCTGCTGCCCTTCCCCGGGGCCTCCGCTGCCCAGTGGGTGTGAACTGGCACTGCAGGGCAGAACTAGGCTGCGCTGTCACACCCACTGCACCCCTCTTCCCCCCCCGAGCCCACAGTGAGGGGGAGCCGGGCTCTGCTCTGCTGCAGCAGCAGCCGCTGCCTCTTCCTGGAGGCAGAGGGCTGTGGAGCTCAGTTCCTGGCCCCATAGCCCTGGCCTCTGTAATTCCTGTTCCAACCAGCAAGTGTGAATAACTCTGGCAGAAGGAGGTTCCCCTTAGAAGGTGAACTTTCTAGCCAAACGCTCATCAAATTAAAGGTCCCCTAGTAAATTGCTGCTGCTTGGACAAAATGAAGAAGCAGATTTTGCCTAAGTGCTTGTCCCAGCAAACAGGTATCATACCTATTTTTACATGTTATTTTCAACTTCTTAGTGCTCTATGCCTGGTTGATTCAGATAAGTGTTATTTGGTCAAATGAAACTTCTGTGTGAAACTGGATGTTACATATATAGGGTAGAGTAGGGCTGTCCAACTGCTAAGCACCTGGGGTTGCACAGGCCACACCAGCAGGGGCTGTATGCCATGGGGGCCACCCCCACACACCTGGTTACCCTACATCACCTTCAGCTGCCTGGCTGTGAAGTCTACTGCTGCACCATGCCATAAAGGTGCTCCCTGGCGTGGACTGCCCTGTCCCACCCCGTCTTGCCCCCTGGGGTGGTGGCATGTAGCGAAAGCCAGAGGACAGAGAGGGAGCCCCAAGACCCTGGTTGCTGCTGCAGCAGTCGGGCTTCATTTTAACCCCTTGTGAGCCACGTGTGGTCTACAGGCAGCCAATTGGATAGTCCTGCTGCGGACCATGCTACTTCACGTTCACAAGAGATGCCGGAATCTCTCTGTGAAACTCTCAGGAGAGATTCTTTGGCCAGAAGAACAAGTTCCTGTTATTTGCTGACTAGGTTTTCTCTTCAAAAAAGGAGCGCAGCCATTCAAAAGTAGCCATTCAAAAGTAGCTTCCTTTCCCAGTACAGATATGCAACAGTAAGTTACTGGTAGCTGCTCACCAGTGATAGAAAACAGGTTTTTAAAATAATTTCCTTGGACCTAATTGCCCAGCTGCCACTAGAAAGAGAACCCAACTTAAAAAAAACCCGTAATTTTATGAATATGATCTTATTTCTATTCTTAAGGTTAATTTTAAGTACATCAGCTTCCAGTTCTTACAAGGCATTCTGTTTTTTATGGATACTGCTTAGCAGATGTTTTGCTGATTTATGTAAAACTGTTCAACACAGGGGACAACAGTTTGCGCAACAGATACAGCAACAGAATCCAGAGCTTATAGAGCAACTGAGAAATCATGTCCGGAGCAGATCTTTCAGTGGCAGCACTGAAGAGCATTCCTGACTTAAAGAAGGCATGTGTTTATAGAACTCAAAAGCTATATTGTAGTTAGTAGCAAAAACACCATTGTAATGATTCTGCTTGGAAAATCTTGTGCGTGTTCTGTAAACAATAATAAATCTGTTAAACAGATCCATTGCACACAAATTTGAACATATCATGAATGTATAGTGAATCCTTTGTAAATTACTACATAGTAACTAGAATAAGTGACTTATGAAAATCTCTGCATATAAATTGTTATCATTTTCAGGCTGTGTTAGAATGATTTCCAGGGCTGTCGAGTGGGAAGATAGGAATATTGCTTTGTTGGTTGCTGCCATACTTGCATAGTAATTTAGTTCTAAAAATTGCATAAGGGGTACATTGTTAGATAATGAAGAAGTGGATGGCTCTGCTGTGAAACAACAGCCTAAGCAGGCAGCCTTCTCTATGTGACATTCCTGTGGAGATTATGGAGTTCAACGTAGATGTGAAAAACTTACCTAAAATGCAGTCCTATGACTGCAAAACATTCCTACTTGTTTCAGGCTCTTGCTACCAGCACAATATGTTTGTCAGTGTTACCAGGAGGAAGGCAAGTGGACAGATAAAGACTAGAGAGAATTAAAAATTGCACAGTAAAAGAAAAACTGAACTATGAGAGGAATGTACTGAAAGCAGAGAGACAGAGTGGATGAAAGAGGATTATAGTAGGAGGCTTAGAAATTTTTACTGCCACATAAGCTCCAAAACCATCTTGATAGCCCTGGAGGTCTCTTATGGCACTAATGGTATAGGCATGGCAAGCTATGCTTTCTTCTCTGTATATATATTTAAACATAAAAATCCTTAACTGTGACTAGTTAAACTGGTCATATGACTGTGGAAGTAATTAGTACTGAAAACTTCTTTATTCATGCATATATGGATACTACTGTTTTGGATAATTATTCATGCTTTCTGCCTGCATCTACAAAATATTTTGTTGCCTAGATGAGTTGGTTCTGGGGAAGCCAGCCCTGATGGAAGTGGAATGGAGCAGTTACCAGGGAAGCTAGATAATGTACTCTTGAAACCATCCTTATAGTTTGTTGGCAACTTCAGTTTTTGCATATTACAAAGCTAAGAGCAACCATCTTACTCTAGCTTATGGTTTACATAACAAAAATAATTGCTATAGTTCTGATGGCCTTAGCTACCCCAACAAGAGCATGCTACAGTTGACACAGTGCAGTCTGTAAACATTTATTCTTTTTAATATATAAACAGAAGGAGGCTTTAGAGCTTCAAAAAAACCCACAACACTGACATTCCTCAGTGAGAATAGCTGTCATTTAAAGTCTTTGTTTCCAGGAACAAAATTTGCATCTAGGAACAAAGGGTTCATTCATGCTAAAATCTGTTTTGTCCTAAACAGCCTAGATTGTTTCACAAAGTCATATGACATAATCACAGGGTGAGGAGAGTCTTACAATATGTAATTGCACTTTACTTTGAACAATTCATACTGAAACTGAAGTAGTAAACCACAATCTAAACAAGTACTGCTTTAATTTGAGATTAACAATATACTTTATCACAGAATGTAATAAATAATTGTGCATTTAAAACTTAAGTGGTTTTGTATTTTTACTAGTTCAGCAGCAAAACCACATGCTAATCCCTGGAGAAGAGAAAAGAACACATTTTTTGACATTCTCTTAAGATGTGAATTTTCAGAGAGGGTTGTATAGGAATGTTTGTTTTCTTCTGTTTACTGGCAAAATACCTTTCTCTTTATTAAATATATTAACCACACTTTCAGCACAGAACTGAATTATTTGCATGATAATACTTTCTACTTCATTTACCAAGGTGATTTATCCATAGTCAAGGGTGCATTTAAAACTTCCCTTGTTGACCTGAAATTTGATCATTTATGTTGATGGTGAAAGAGAATTGTATCTGCAATTTATGAAGAAAATCTATCCTACTATTTGGAGATGCTAGTGCTGATTTGTCCATCATTTCTGCATCTTCTACCACAAATTATACACTAACACAGCTCCATCTCCTTAAAGCTGTTGGCTCTGTATGAAGATAGGCATAAACTAAAGTTATTTTCAGTTTTTCTGTATAGTTTTGATTTACCTATCTCTGTTCAGTTTGACAGAGATTAGACATTGCATTACATGAGGGCATTCTATTCTGTATTCAACTGCAGCTTAGAAGGGACATATAGGGTATTGTGTATGGTTTTTTTAACCCTAGCTCAAGCAGTTGAACCTACAGGCTGGTTATTTGAATGGGAGGAAGAAAAAGAAGTGTAAGGCAACCTTACATTCTTGGCTTGGTGTGTTTTATGGAAAGGAGATAATTTGCAAAGAGACTAAGACTGGAACCACAGTTTCAGCTACAGGCTGAATTTAAAGAGCATGAGAATCTTGTTACAAAGGAGATTAAAGTTTTAGTTTTAACAGCGTTTTTAGAAAATAAGTGACTATTTTTGTATAGAAGTTGTGGCCTTTCATTCTGACTAACAAAGTCACATTACAAAAAAATTGCAGGTATGTTTGACACTGGTTCATACAAGAGGTAATGTTAAAGGACAAATGTAAAAGTCACCATTATTTGGAAGTGAAATGCCATTTACTTAATTCAGCAGGCTTAGGGGGAAGAAGGCCATGTCAATGGAGATATTTTCTGATTTGACCTCTGAACTAGGCAAGGCAACTTCTCAAAGGAAGTGGCTGGACCTAACTTTCCAAGCATTTTCCCGACAAGACAAACATCAAACTATAGGATTTGCTAAAAATTGGTACAAGAAACTTATAGTAGATAGCATTTCCCTTTCATTCATTATACTATATTACCTCTTGTATAGATTGGCCTAATAGCAATGGCTGCTTGCAGACATTAAAAAAACAAACTGCACGCACGCACGCGCGTGCCAAGCCCAGTGCATGTCCAGAAGAGGCAGTGCATTACTTGGACTTGGCTCACGTAACATCTGCATAGATCGGATGCTTTAGTGGGGCTTTTTGGAACTTTCATCTAACAGCTGATTAAATCAGCTTTAGCTAGAAGTGTCAAAGCCCCACTGAAGCACCTGATCTATAGAGATGCTGCAGAGCCAGGTTGAAGTAACATGCTGCTGGTTCCGGTAAAGCACTTTTTTTTTGTAAAGTCTGCAAGCAGCCAAAGATTTTAAGCAGTACTAAAAAGAAGATAGTACTTGCTTTCTTTGAGACTTTTTAGAATAAAAAAAAATACTCTTAGCACTAAACAGTTAAGAGACTGGTGACATGGCCTGACTCAGCAGTTCCCAATATGTGGTATGCATACCACTAGTGGTACACATTAACAGATTTATTAGAATTACTTTATATGAGAAAAATTTGCTGGTGGTACTTACAGTTGAAATGAAAAATTTACAAAATGTATCATTTTAAATTGATGGTTCATAATCTGTCAAGAGTTTGGGAACTGCTGGCCTAACTCATTGGGCAAGTAATTTGACTTGAAAGGAGTTGAACATTAAACATGAGTTTACTCATTAAGTATGACTAGCAATTTTGACAAATTTTCTAAGTTTCTACATTGTTAACAAGTGTAACAAGTCAATGAGCAGAACCTCCCCCCTGCTTTTTACTATAGGCAAGTCTGCTCACAACAGCTGCTATAAGGTTGCCTGCCATGTCTCATAAGACCTTGCTTTCAATATTGCTCAACTCATCCAGTTTGGGCTGAAGCCTTTCATGCTGGGGACCTTCCTTTGGCTGAAGTTTTCTGAAAAAAGTTCAGCCTCTGTGAGAACAAAAGACAAAGAAAATATTATTCTTAAAAGTTAACTGAACCTTGGTAAATTCTAATGGCTTTAATAAATTCTATTCTTGCTTTGCTAAAGAGACTAGATTTGGTGGTGTGACTACTACTGTGCCAGGATGTGCTTTGTGACACCTCTGAAAACACCCAAACTTGTCCAACTTTGTGTCTCAGGTCACACCATGTGCATAGTTAAGACACATGCTAGAGTTTAAAATGGCTAAAAATACCAGAAGATTCCACATAGAACAGTGAAGGATAAAAAATATTGGATAGAAGTTTGTTAGTGAGTGTTATTTCAGCATATTGAATAAGACACAGGCCTACAAAGTTAAGAATTGTATCATGATGTACTAGAGGATTTAAGGAGGAGGGGGCAATTTTAATTTAAACTGCATTTAAATATCAAGGCAATCCATCATCTATTTAATGTGACACTGACAGTCTTAGTCTGGCATTTCCTAATTTATGAATGCTTGACTAAGAATGGTAAATGTAAGCCTTTGTTAAGGCTGTAAAGACCCACAACTGCAACAGTTCCACATTTACCTATGTAAAATATCAGCAAAAATAAAGGGGGGAGAGAGGGGGAGTGAGTGAGAAGGGGGAGGGTCAGTGTAATCTTTATCAAACATTCAGCAACTAACTTTTTCAAATTAATTTATATATTTTGTAATAAAGATCAGAGTTACTGATTTGAATATGAAGCATCATAGTAAGCAAGAAATCTAGGGAAAACTGATGGACAAGCATGTGTGAGTAAGCAAAAAGAGAGAAACTGCATAGTGCAGTCCAGTCCAAGGTATGCCATTGAGAGAGGGGGCAAAAGTGAGACTTTTACTACAAGAATGTGTCACTTAGGGACTAGTCTCTCCAGGTTCAAGTAGGTTGATGGTCATTGCTACAGTCATGGCAGCCATTTCAGAACATGGATAACATGTAGTCTTTAAACTGGCTGAATATTCCATACAGTAGTGCATTATAACTTGACAAAGCTCCATTCTTAGACATTATTTTAAAGGCTTTATTGTCAAATAATAGATACAATATATATAATTAACTCTTTAAAACATATTTTAAAACATCCCAAAAATGCTTGGAGAAGAAAGTTAAATAAACATGCTTGCATTGTTTATGGATGGGTATGGTTCTTTTTTTTAACATTTGGCTGCCTGCCATTCAGCTGTAAGATGTAGGAAGTTGGTCTAAAACCAGAGCAGAAGTATTACAGGATTTTTCTTCAGCTTTCTTCTTTTACTTCTGAAGAAACTACACAGACTTGTGCAATATCATCATACTCGTATGTTCTCTTCAAAAACGTATCTGTCAGTCTTAAGCCAGAGACACTCTAATAGGAAAAAAAAAGATTTGTACAAATGTTATTAGTAAGAAAACTTACGAACTGCTGTTATAAAATACCCACTCTATAAACAAGACTGTATTGCTAACAGTGAGGTCTTACTTGTAGTCCCTGCACTGAAGACAATAGTGTAAGTGCAAGATGGAGGGATGAACTGGGGTGTAGCTTTCCAAGTTGCCTTCCTGAAACTCCACACCAGTGGATGGAATTAGTATTACACATTTCCAGTATCAGATCCATAGTCCTTTCACTGCTAGAGGAAACCGAAGAATAAGAAAAATCCTTGTTCTCACTCACAGAAGATTTTAGTACAGTAGCTTGATAGTTATACCAGTGCTCATCAGAAACTAACCATTGATTAAAATACTTTTTAAAAAAATTAAGATTATGAACTGCTGTAATTAAGTCATTATTACATAATTGCAAAACAAGACAGTAACTCTGCTGAATATTAATATATTGATTACATTAGGGATGAGCCTACCAGGATGAGGAAATGCAGTCTAATTAATTTCCTCAGGTAATACCCAGAACAACATTCTTTAATTTAAAGTGACTTCCACAAGCTTGTTGTAAATGAGATTGTTATGTACCAAGTCCAAAGAAAATTTTATATTTAAGATTTAGATAAAGATTTGATTTCAAAAGCAACACTTGGATATTGCCCATGGAGATTCTGGATGCTGCAGACTATGTGGAGGTTAAAACTAGTACTGAAAAGTTTAGTCTTAAGGAAGTTACTGCTAGTTAATTGAAGGTTATCTAAGACTAAAAGACTTAAGATGTGTTGTAACCTTATGCTGTTAAACACACATTAAGATACAAAACTGCATTTAAAATCTCAAGGCATTCCATCATCAATCTTTGCCAACATCATAAACCAAGCAGTACCAAGCTAATCCCTTGGAAGATTTATTTCTGATCATTTATCACTAAAATGATATATTTCAAAGTGATATAGCACAAGGGAGCAATATTTGACAAACCTTTCAGCTTTTGTAGAAGCTGGTCTAAAAGGGTGTGTATAGACATCTGGGGAGGTTAGAGGGCATTTAGATACCCAATCTAAGGTAAGTTGGGATAGAGAGGGGGCTTGAAAGAGATCAAGGTAGCAAACAGGGCCCATGGGGGGCTTGGAGGGATGGGGGCGCAGGGGCTGGTGGGACCCATGGGAGCTGGTGGGGTCTGGCAGGGTTTTGCAGGATCAGGGGAACTAGAAACGTTTATGAGGGTCACGGGGACTCTCCCCCTCCAGTCCAGGGGCTGTTTTTAGTTCCATGCCCCTCCACCCCTAGATGAACAACCAGGCCCTGCTTCCCTCTGCCCCACCTTACTTTGATTGGCTGCTGGCACTGGCAAATGCCAGTAAAACTGGCATCAGGAGCATCTTGCAGGATGGGGGGCTGGGGTTGGTGGGTTTGTGGGGAGTTGTCTGGGAAAGGAGTGAAGGGCTAAAACAAAAAAATAGCCTGCTGCTATGGGAAGGGGAAGTGGTTGGAAAAGTGCAGCCCAGGAGCTGGAGCCAGTTGGTTGGGTTTTCCCAGTCCCAGCCTGCACTGGGAACTACAGAATTTCAGTTAGATGTGTTTCTCCAGACATGATTTAACCGTCCCTCCAAGACAGTCCAACTTAGCTTAGACTGGATCGGCCATTTTTAGACTCATCTAATGATCCTGAACTTCTGTACAATTTGCACTTAAATCCCTAGTTAGGTCAATTTAAGTGCGAGGTTCACACCTGGGAAAACTAAGTCAGATCAGGTGGCCATTATTAACACTATCTAGCCTCCCTGAACATTTGTACCTAGCCCAATGTCCAGATGCATAGTTCAAGTTCACTGTAGGTGACAGCAAGGACCTAAATAACCTTTCCATTCAAAACTGAAGAAAAGTCACTTGATATCATTACCTGCAATTTGTTATTTTACATGTAATATCAAAAGGTTCCTCTAGATTTACAGTGTCTGGTATTGTCTCCAAGGAAAGCCTGACATCACCGTAACCTGGGGCCTGAGAAGATACAGAAACACATAGTATTTCAAGTGATTGCTAGTGAAGCTGAAGGTTAGTGGTGCTGTTAAGTTTTAATGTTGTCTAAGAATTTCTTGGGGCAACATTATTTATTGGACCAACTGCATAGTTAGGGGAGAATTAGACAAGCTTTCCATGCAAGACATTTCTTCTTTAGGTGAATGACTTGCATTCAAAAGCTTGTCTAACTCCATCCCAACGATGCACTTAGTTCAATAAAAGATACCACCCTAAGAAATCTTTGCCTTTCATATAATTTCTGGACCATCACAGCTACAACATCACTCTAACAATACCAGTTCAGTCACAGAGCACTTTAGTTTAACAGATGCAAAAACTTTACAAAGTAGGTCAGTATTAGTGTCTGCCATCTGAAGATCATAAGGCAAAAGAAGTAGAAATTATTTCATCCATCAAGAGTGTAGGTCAAAACCCATTTCATCATGTGTATTGATGTGGACAGACTGATCAATAGAAAAGGGCTGAACTATGAGCATCTTATAATGAACTGATGCTGTGCAGTTGTATGACTGGCCCTTACAGAACATAAAACAATTGTAAACTTGAGGCATAGAGTGGGGTATAGAATATAATTTCCTGTGTTGGCTCTGCAAGGCAAAACAGGCATAAAAGTTATCTTTATTATTCAAGGAAGCATGTGTAAATCCATATGCTCTTAAACAGTACATCTGTGTAATAGCCAGCTAGCTGGGTATTGGTTCCCATGGAAAAATGGAGTAAGACACGGATCCTCCCCTTGTCCCCCCTCACTTACCACAGTAAAATTCAGATTTCTCGTTCTAGCAGAGGAACCCATGGATTTTGCAGTTTTGCAAAAAGCTCCCTGGAGGCTGGCAGAGTTCCAGCCTTCAGGGGGCACCATGTGTATGTATATGCACATGGCCCCAGGCACACTGAAGAGCAGCTGCCACAGGTAAGCTGGGGGGTAGGGGGATGCTGCTCAGCCAGGCGGTGCATGGGGCTAGGGGCCCAGGGCTGCAACGCATGGCCACAGGGCCCCAGCAGGGAGTGGGATGGGGTTGTGGGCAGTTTCCTTGGGGACTGGGGGTCAGAGGCAGCTCCATGCTGCTGCGCACACTCCCAGAGGGACAGGGGAGACCTGTGCCTCCCCAGATCTGTGCTTGGGGCAGGGGTGGAGGCAGGCTGCCCACTATGAGCTTGGGCTCATGCCCTGCTGAGCCTCCTCCAGGGCCTCTGCAGCACAGTGTGTGCAACCTGGTGCTGCTGTGAACAGTGGAGCTGCACATGGATCTCCTTGCCTCTGCAAGCTCTGTGCTGCCATTGATGTGTCCTATGTGTGGAGGAAGCAGCGTGGGGTTGTGCTGCTCACTGCTGCCCTGCGAGCGGAGGACATGTCACCAGGGTAGCACAGAGCTCACAGTGGCAAGTAGCTTTCCTGTGTGGCCATGCTCTGCCCTGCAGTGCTGGGTCACGCCCGCCAGGCTGCAGAGGAGCTGGGGGACAGCAGCACTGCGGAAGCCTGAGCTGGCAGCGGGCCACATGCACCCATGCCCACCCCATGCACAGATCTGAGGAGTACAGGTGCCCCCAGCCCTGGTGACATGTTCTTCGCGCGCAAGGCTGCAGTGAGCAGCACAACTCCGTGCTGCTTTCCCTGCGCGTGGTGGATTCTGCACTGTCCTGGCGACACACTGGCAGCGACAAGGAGATCCCAGTGCAGCTCCACTGTTCCCTGCAGCATTGGGTTGCACACGCCAGCCTGCGGAGGCCCAGGAGGAGGGCAACAGGGTGGGAGCCTGAACCTGCAGTGGGCTCCGTAGCCCTGGCAGCTGGGGGCCCCTTCGGGCAGGGCGGGGGCCTCTTATTTTAATTGCTATTTGGGGGGTTTTATATCAGAGAATTTGTGATTATTAGGGAAAACCAGGATCCCTGGTGATGGCAGGTGCCATATTTAAAAAGAGATTTTTGGAAGTAATAACTGCACTCTAGTGTACTCAAAAGGGTAGGGCTGAAGGAAATCTCACAAAGTCATCTTGTCCAACCCCCTGCTCCAGGCAGGATTATCCCTGACTAATCCATCCCAGCCAAGCACCTGTTTAACCCACTCTCGGAAAAACATCCAAGGATGGAGATTCCACAGCCTCTCGGTAGCCTGTTCCGATACTTAACCACCCTCAAACTGAGGAAGTTCCTCATCCACCTGAAATTTCCCTTGCTGCAATTTAAAGCCATTGCTCCCTGTCCCATCCCCTGTCATCACAGAGAATGTCTAATGAAAATAGGTATTGTGGTCAAACTATCTCCATCTTCCACAAAGCCACCCTTTGGCTTTGGAGACTTATCAAATCCCTGCTCACTTTTCTCTTGTTTCCAAACTCAGTGATTCTAGTTCTTGCAGCCTATCCTCATCAATCTTATTTCCCAGGCCTCCAGTTGATTGTTTCTGTCACTCTCCACTGGACTCTAATTATTTCTTGTGAGGAGCCCAAAACTGGACACAGTACTTACCAAGTGAGGCCTCACCAGTGCCAAATAGAGCAAGAAAATCACTTTCCTGATTTACAAAATGACGCACTTATTAACACAGCCCAGTATGATATTGGCTTTTTGCAACAAAGTTGGCTCTGCCAACTTAGAGAAATGGAACGGTTCCAAGTTATCCCTAACCTGTTCTTCCACTACTGTAGGCTGCTTGTCTCCTTCCTCAGCCTTGCTGGCAACTACAGTTGACCCACTTCATTCAAGAAATTAGTTCTTCCGACTCTGCTAAATTAAATGTTTTACTTTTGTGCCTCTAAATTTATGCTCCATTGTTGTGTGATGTCACTAAAACAGCCATGTTACATGCCAAACAAAGCAAAATTATTACACAGATTGAAAGGAACTTCAACTCTCAAGCTTTTTGTTTGCGAGGTAGTGTTACTGTTCACCTACTTCAGGGAACGTTGTTTTTCACACTTCACTGAAAATATCCTCAGAATATCCGCTCTTAATTTTCTTGAATGTGTGTGAAGAAATATAAAGATGCTGAATTTGTAAGGAGTTCAGTGAAGAGATAGATACTGTAAACAATTTTTTCTAGTCACAGCAAAAGTATCCAGATTTTGTATTTGGTAATTTTGAAAATGGATGTTCCAAATTATGACAACTCACCATTCTTTGGAGCTGACTGGTCTGCAACCTTCCTCGTTCCCCTAGGTTTGTTTTCCACACAATATCTAGTTTACCAATTACTGTAACACCTTTAATCACTCCAGCTTTCTCTGCAAATTCTTGCTTGGGTTTTAGGCAGTATAAATATTGACGAGTATCCATAGGCTGTAAGTAAGTCCTTGAGCCAAAAGTAGACATGCTGAGAGACAGAGAAAGACCACCTCAATTTTCAAATAGTTGGTTTCAACAGTTTTCTTAGATTATTGTTAAAGTCTAAAATAAACATAATTATTTATACTCTGTGACATTTTAGAGACAAAGGGCACATCTACATGAGATGCTTAATGAGCACTGGACTAATTCTACTATGTGTTAGCATGGGTGGCAAAAACCATTTTAATGTACAGTAGCTTTAGTCCACTGCGCATTAAGCATCACACAAAAAGTTCATCTGCACTAATGCGTGGTAGCCCAGACTAACATGGCTAACTGTAGGCATGTCTACATGTTCATTAATGTGCCATAATTATGTATTATAATTGTTAGTACCCATTATTACAGGCAATGCCTGTAATTTACCTGTAATAAATACCTGTATTACCTTTAATAATGGGTACTAACTTAATGTGCCACAATTATGGTACTTTAATGAACATGTAGACATGCCTATAATTAGCCGCGTTAGTCTTAAGTCGAGTGGAAGGCAGGGTAGGTTTGCACCTTATAGACCAGATAGACCAACAGACTTTGGCTAGTCTATAAGATGCAAATCTACCCTGCCTTTCATGTGGCATTTCATTTAGGGCTAAAAGTTGTCCTTACAGGAAAAAAGAAAACAAGCAAAACAGACTGAGGTGGTGTCAAAACAGCAATTACAGAGAATGATTCACGATTCAAGTACTAATGTGATATAGTTGTAGCATGGTAATCTTCAGGAGCATATTTACATGGGGAGGGGGTATTGGGAAGGAGAATCAGTTTTGCTAAAATTATTATCCTCTGCCCATTAGTTTCTGGACAACGTTTCTATACAAGCAGTCTTTGGATGACACTAGTACTAGTTTTGAGAGGGAGATTTAATTTAATTCAGTTTGACATGTTTTGTACAGGACTTGGGGGGGGGAGAATATTACGAACACTTCAAATATCACGCATTGTTAAAACAGTGTTAAACACTAGCTTCATTTTAAGTTCAAACAAGTATCTACAGCAGTGCTCCATTTACTACACACATCAAATAAGTAATATGGCTGTCCGAAGCTTCAGACAGAGCTTCAGATCCGGGGAAGCTTTGGACGCTTTGCGGTCCAAAGCAGTATGTCTGGATCGAAGCGCTGCCTTGTTCAGCTTCCTGAAGCAGTTTGGAGCGGCCTCGGAGATTTGGCCATAGGGTATAGTGGGGAAACAAAGTATTTATAACTTTGTTGTTTTTTGTCCGATTTGGATTAAATTTTCCGGGGTGGTAGACTCCACAGAGAGGATGAAGCCTGCTAAGTTTCAAGAAGATCGGTGCAGGGGCTTGGGGGCAACGGTACTCCAAGTTCTTGAAAGCAAAACTCATGTCACGTCTAGGTGTTACAACGTAGCAGGGTGAAAACTGAAGGGGTGGTAGCTCTTACTGAGGCCACAAAGCCTGCCAAGTTTCAAGAAGATCGGTGCAGAGGTTTGGGGGGGGAACTGCACCTCAAGCTGTGGACAAGCAAACTCATGCCATGGGTGTTGTGGGACTGACTGTGTCTGTCTTGAGGCCTGGGAGACACTACTACAGGCCTGGCTGCTAAGCTACTGTGTTACCAGTTACCATCTACATTTTCACTGACTACCCATCTTGTATGCATACCAGCCCAGCCCCTGGCTTCTTTACTTTTCATTCCATCCAGGAAGAGTACACACCAACTTCCTTAGCCTGACGAAGGGTTTCTGAACCCAAAAGCTTGCTTGAAAATTGTTTTCCAACTATTTAAGTTGGTCTAATAAAAGATATCAGATTCACCCAAAGAACCTTGTCAATCAATCATGATTCACTCCAGGACCAGCTCAATACACAGGACCTAGCTACTACATAACTACTTAACGAGCATCAATTAGCACCTACAAAACGAGGCTAAGGAGAGGAAAGAATCAATACAGACAATCAACTGCCCCAAGACAGAGACAGTCTTGGCAGGTGTTTTGTCTGTCAGCAGCCAGGGGTGCAGGGATGCCTCAGCAGGGGCCACCACCCCTGCAGCTGCCACCCTGCTGCACCTTAACACACAGTGTCATCCATGGCACAAGTTTTGCTTGTCTGCAGCTTGAGGTGCAGTTCCTTCCAAATCCCTGCACTGATCTTGAAACTTGGCAGGCTTTGTGGACTCAGTAAGAGCCATCAGCCCCGCAGTTTTGACCCCCCCCCCCCAGGTGTTGTAACACATAGACGTGACAAGAGTTTGGCTTTCAAGAATTGGGTACAGTTCCCCCCAAACTCCTGCACCAATCTTCTTGAAACTTGGCAGATTTCATGCTCTCAGCAGAGGCTACCATCCCGGCAAGTTTCATCCAAATCTAACAAAAACCAACGAAGTTATAGATATTTCATTGATTCCCCCATTATACCCTATGGCTGGACCTCTGAGGCGGCTCCAAAGCTTCAGAGCCACTTGGGCCAGATCGAGGTGGAAACCCAGTCCAGAGCTCCGGATCGGATCACTGCCGACTCACACAGGCCTAATAAGTAACACATTCAAGGTTGTTTGTTTGTTTACAGTGTCAGAAGCAAGTCTGGGATACCGCCAACTTCCCGTATTATTTGAAAACTTGTGTAGCACCTTTCCTCATTCCCTACCACTTGCCATGGTAGATACTCAATAATCCTTGGCATAACTAAACTCTCTTCTGGTTCACAAATGGGTTACAACTATTCACTTTATGCTAATTGAATACTTTTTATTTTAAGAAAGCTACTTAATAGAGCATCATAGTTTCAAAGTTGAACTATATGCTCCCTGATTTTAAAAAGCTTACCTTTCCCCAGCTTTGTTGACAGTATTTAGTTCTGCTACATTGTACATAATAGATGGCTCTAATGAAACCTTCTCCATAAACATTGGAGAGGTTGTAATATTCTGAATCTGAGCTTCCAGAAATACTTCGTCTGTCTGAAAAAGCAGAGAAGCAAATTTATAAAGATGCAATTAGAATTTTAAACATGGTTCAGTCTTATTGCTTGAAAAAAAAACATCAAATGTATATTAGTTCATGCCTGCAAATCAAAGTTACAGTAATTAATACAAGGGAAAAAAATTTCATCCCAATATAATTAATAGGAGCAAAGTGTTAGTCAACCTATACCTTGCCAAACAATGGATGTGGGATAGTTCTACTTGCTCCAACTATTCCTTTACAAGATGTTGTATGATAACTTCCTAAGGCTTTCATCAACAGCCCAAGTTCTATCCAAGTTAAGTAAAGATTAGCGAATTGCAATGC